TTCAATCAATAAGGGATAAGGACAAAATAGATCGGTCTTGTATATTCTTGATGAGGTTTTTTTGCATCAACTAGAAGTATTTAAGATCTGTGATGAAATCTACACAAAGAGTTTGTATGAAACCCATGGCTCCATTTGGTTCACTATTTTACAGTTTTTAGAATAGATTTTTTGGAAAAAGTTGAATTGAATAGTATTCTGAAAAGTTGTTTTGTATATTTTTTAATTACATTTTTTTAAAATATTTAAATTACTTTTAACCTCTTAGGTTTGTTAATTTAATTAAACATTCATAATAATAAAAGTTTAATAAATTGACAAAATACCCCCACCCATCTACATTTGCCAGATTTCGATCATCATCGTCGGAAGATAGTCGAAATATGTCGTAATGGTGCACTACCGACTGGATATGGCCGATAGTGCATCGATATGACATTTTTTAGCTATATCTATTGTGGATCTGGTCGGAAAATACCAAATCTACGGTCGCCAGATCTAGCCGTTGACGGCTAGATCTAGCCAAGATCTTTTGGCCTTCAACAAACGACGGCCAAGATATGGCCATCATTAACGACCAAGATATGACCGTCGTTGATGCTGGACCAATGAACGAAATAAAAGCACAACAATAACACAAGAAATAATTTTTTTAAAGTGGTTTGGATACTTAGTACAAATCTTACGTCCATTGTTTTTGTATTGTTTTCTTGGCTTTCTCTATATACAAGTGCGGCTTGCGCAAGTTATGAAAGAACCCCCCTAATTAAGGGTAAAAAATATGCTTACATAATGTTACAATGGTAGACTTATAAGTAGAGCCGTCAACATACTCTTTGAAGTGCCTCTGCTTAATGAGGTCTTCAATTACTTGCTTGAGAGCCCGACACTCATTCATGTGGTACCCATTATCTTGATGATAACGACAATATTTCTTGTTGTTTCTTACTGAAAGAGGATTGCTTATGGGCGTCGACTCTCTGAGCAGGTTGACCTCTTCTAACACATTGTACATATATATGATAATGATTAAAAAAAATTATAAATTATAATGAATCAAAATTCAAAATTATAATTATGATACATTATACATTATACATACATATAAATATATTATATATTAATAGTATAATATTATGTATTATTGTATTAAGTAACAAGTATTAACATATGAATATATGATATTATGATTACGGATAATATCATATTATGTATAATGTATAATATATAATATATTATAATAAATTCTAAATAAATTATACCATATATATTACAATATCTCATTAATATTCTAAATAATACATAACATTATACATAGGGTCAGTTTGGTTCGGGGTTAAGTGACATTACTGGGGTAATGTCATCTTATATTACTTGATTACCACGTTTGGTTGTCAAGTAATATAAGATACCAGTAATCTTCAAATACCAATAGTGGTTACTATTGGTAATATAAGAGGTAATCTGATTACCTCCATTTTCTTAGGTTTTCTGAGATTACCAGGGTTATCTTTTTTTGTTACAATTTTATCCCTTATTAATAAAAATTTTGGACATAAATAACCCCTACTTTAAAACAAATTTACTTATAATCCTATTTCAATTTTACCCTTGTTTAATTAAAATTTTGGACAATAATGCCCTTATATTTAAAATAATTTACAGACCACCACTGCCACCAAGCCACCACCACCACAGCCACCCAGCCACCACCGCCGACAGCGGTCACCCACCACGGACCACCGCCGGAAATTTGCCGGAGTCCCTAAAAACACTGGAAATTCTGTGGAGGCTCCGCTATGGCCGTTTTCGGCCATCAATATGGCCGAAAACGGCCATAGCGGAGCCTCTTCGTCACGGTGCGTACTCACGGACATCCGGCGATGGTTCGCGGTGGCGGCAGAGGTGGGGGTTAGTTTCGTCATAAATTAAAGTTTTATATAAGCGGGGGTGTTTTAGCTAAATCTGAAATATTGGGGGTTAAAAGAATTATTCAAAAATTAATAATAAAAATAATTTTATATTAATATTTAAAAGGGGGACAATTTAGTAATTTAAATAGCATACCCACCAATTTATTCCCCATAACCAAACATATTAATATAACATACCCACCAACTAACCAAACATATTTTTCTAAAGATTCCCAGTAATCTTTCAAGGTAATCTATCTTTCCAGTAATTCAACATTCTCAGTAATCTAACATTCCTGAACCAAACGCCCCCATAATGCATTACATATGATACATTATACATATATATTATAATAAATTCTGTATAAATAACTACTATAATATAACAAGGGCAATTAGGTAATGGAATTGAAATAATGATTCAATGAGGGACCAAAAAAAAAAAAATTGTAATGATTTATTGATTTATTATAATTAATCAAAATATGAAATGATACGTTATACATATATATTATGCATATCAAATGATACATTATACATATATACCATATTTATTATGTATTACAAATATTTATAATAATTTATTATATTTAATATAGTTTTATTTATTAGCTATTTGTATATAGTTTTATAAAACATTCACACAATTATAATTTGTTTTTGTATAATTTATGGCTTCATTGATTGATTTTCAACTATTAAAATTAATAGAGGATTAAATGGTTAAAATTAAACCTTACTCTATATATAATATTGTACAGGTCAGGTCAGGGAATTCGGGGCGAGGACGGGTTAGGGTGGGGCGGGGCAAGACTAATCCCGTCCCCGAATTCGAGGACTGATTTTGGGCTCGGGCCTAACCCAAATCCCGAATAATTTAGGAAAACTCTGCCTTGTTCAGAGTGGGGTTGAGACAGGTCCCTGTAGGGTCGGGTATTATGCCCATCCCTACTTACAAGTGATGTAAATCTTAGATAGAGTGACATACTACTTGAATGACAACACAACCTTGGGATATATGGTGTGAATCCATGTTGTATGGATTTACCACACAACATATATATTTAGGTATTCCCCTCAAAATCCTTAGTATATCTTTTTATTCTACAAGCTTCATGTATTTATTTATAAAGTAATTAATTTGTGGTGTGAATATGAATGGATACCTTTCTTATATACACAGAAAAGGTAAATATATATATATATATATATATATATATATATATCCCACAAGCACAACTCAGCCTTGCATCAAAAGTTGGATCTGCCAGAGCAAAAGGATAACTTTGTTTCAAGTTGTAAACCATTCCAATACCACCATGACATTGCAACTAAATATTAAAAAGAAAGCTTATATATGCCTTCCTTTTCTGTTGTATAATATTATGTTCTTCAAATATCTCTCCATTTTCTAATGGCGCCGTTTCTATGCATGCACCTATCCATGCAGGATATACAAGTTTTAATACTAAGAACAATTCCTCATTAGTTTGGAAAGTTGACGTCAAATGTTGGAATGGCATCTTAAAAAGGCAAGCACAAATCACAATTTTAAATGTGAATTCAATGGGATACGCATCATAAATATTCCCAAATGATAAAATTTAACTATGTTGACAATGGTGACAGGAATATGAAAAAGGAATTTATTTTCATCAAAGTGTTCAAATGGGTTTTAATGAAAAGGTTTGAAAAATTGCAAAAAGAGTCTTTATCAATTAAGAACACACATGTAAACAGATAACTCCTGCACTATTTGACAAATGCGGAACACGTTCATCTTAAGCCAACCATTTGCAGTTTCGTTCTGGATAAAGTGACAGTCACATTTGCTGTTTCTTTCCGCGTTCAAATTTCCTTTTCACATGCATAGAGCATCACAAAATTCTACAAGAAACATGATTCTCAGTTAATCATAGTTTTTTTTTGTATTTTAGATTTTGATTTGATTAATAAATCCCCAGTTAAAGGAAATAAAAATTTGAATGTATTCTTAAAATGATAGGATAAAACTAAACGAATAATAAAGTGATTAATAATTGAATGGGTAGGGTAGTCTTTTGCACAAATATTTAATAGCCTTGCCACATTGTGCGATTTGCTGAGCTGTTACTAGGCCCGCTAAATTCAGCAATTTTTTATCTGTACACTCTTCTTTCTAACGCCCATCTTAATCCTATTCAAAATTAAATCACCATTTTTAGGTAATAAAATCTTCCATACTTTGATGTTAATCAAATTTTTTTTTTTAAAGAATAGTTATATTCAAGATAAACCCTATTCAAATTATAGAGTAAATTTTGTAAATTAATTTAAAGTTTGTTTGATATGTCTTCTTGGGTAAAACTAATAGAAGAAGAGTTTATTAGAGTACAGCTTATATAAGTAGCGTTTTTACGAAAATTTTGATATTGTTTTGGTTAGGAAAATTTAAAAAAAGCTTTCTAATATTAATTTATAAAAAAAAAAAATTTTAATGTACAATGATCAATCAAGTTTAATGTATAAAATTGAATAGGAATATTTCTAAATAAGCTTAAAAGTAGCTTATGGGCAAAAGCCCAATATTTGAACTTTTCCTAAAAGCCGTAAAATAACTTATTTTAAATCTTATAAACAAATGGTCTAAACATTTTTTAAAAGTGGTTTTAGTTTTAAATAAGTTCTTTTGGCTAGTAGAATTAGTTAGATTTAGTGCCACTGATACTCTAAAATAACTAAGCATATAATACTTTTAAAAAAAAATTATATATTTTAAGACAAATACATTCTAAATTTGTTAATTAGTTTTTTTTTTTTATAAACAAAAAATAGATGTATTGTTTAAAAGTAAACAACTTTTAATTTAATTACAAATAAATGTGAAATTAATTATGATTATTTATTTATTTTTAATTAGATTTTATAAATCCATTTAAATAAGAAATTAAATGTAGCATTCAAATGTGAAATTATAATGAAGGGAGTGGCCGTATCAATTCCAAAGAAAGAAGAAACACTATAGCACGCGGAAAGTAAGCAAGAGAATAACTTTATGAAAATGGAAAAACAATTAAATTCAATATTTTTAAATAAAAATGTAGAATCTACCAATTAATATGATGTTATACACATTGGAAACTCTAATTTTCTTCATTTTCATATAAAAAGCAACAAGGGCATCTCAACTCTCCCTTCCAAGTAGCTTCTAGTTTCATCCTCCATACTCATATAATCTATCTAACTTCAGTAATCAGAGCCTAAGTTTTTTTCTTTCTCAACGATGAGTGACCCCAAGTACGTTTATCCTTATCCTTCTCAAGGTAATCGCTTTGCATGTCTTTCAATATCTTCTTCCAGATTTTTTTTTTTTTCTGTTAAAACTTAAAACCATAGATTTTCGTTGATTTTTAGTTTCTCAACTTGGGTTAGCCGCTTTATTTTGTTGTTCATCTCATTTTATGGTGATTTGTTCGTGGGATTTTTTCTTTTCATAAAAAAGTTTTGAGCTTGATTATTTTTTTATGGGGTTGCAGGTTATTATCAAGGGCCTCCAGTGATGGCTCCTCCTCAATATGCAGCTCCACCACCCAAGAGAGAGCCAGGTTTTCTCGAGGGATGGTAATATAATTATTTACATATTCAACTTTTTTTTTTTTAATTTTTTTTTTTTAACGAATAGGGTAAAATTAATTATTTATATTGATTTTCTGATCTTGGTTTAATATTATATATATATTGTTGCAGTCTGGCTGCTTTGTGTTGCTGCTGCCTTATTGATGAGTGTTGCTGCGATCCCTCCATCATCTTTATAAGCTGATGATTTTCATGTAATTCCGCTTCTATTTACGATTATGTTATGTAATCCCATTGTTATATAGTTTTATGTTTAAATTAAGTTGTTGTTTTGGATTCATTTTAACTTGTTAGTGTTTATGTTTAAAAGTATTTCTTGGAAATGCTTTTGATGTTTGATGTATTAAATTGCTCAACTGATCTATTTTAATACTTATATAATATAGTTTCTGTTACTTCTGGCAAGCACCTTTGGAACAAACAGTTCTTCTTTTAAAGGTTAGATCAGATTTCTGGTAACACCACCGGAAATTAGGCCTGCGCCCACACGGAACTGGCACCGGGAAAGACAAATTTGGCCTTTCCCGATCCGCACTTTGGTGCCGGAAGCTTGTTGTGGCCGATTGTGTCATTTCCGGCACCGGTTCCGCATCAACGCAGGCCATTTTTCTGGTGGTATAAGCATTTAAGATTTCCACTTTTGTTTTATGTAAGGCGAGCAGAAATGACTTTTGTGAGTTTTTCCATCGTTGTGGGGACTAGTTGTCCATAATTTTTGCAGTTTTCTGGCTAGTGATGAGGTCGTTTGTGGCCCAAAAGAAAACAATAATTCAGCAACTAATTAAATGCCAAGTAATAATGAAAGTTCATGGAATTGAGCTGTCCAGCTAAGTGTCAAAGCCAACAATCTTTTTGCTTTTGTCAAGGTATTTGACTTTTGAAATAGTAGGGGGAAGAAACATTGAACTTTTCACAATATTTGGCTGAAGGTTTACTCACTCCATTATGGCTTCATTCAATCAAATCATAGACTTTTGTTTAGAAATTTGTTAAGTCTTTTCTTTAAGCACATGGGAAGCTAGGAAAATCTATTTAATGATTTACTGGTAAACAGTGTTTGGACGAGCTTTAAACCTAAATTAGACATCTTGGGTTTAAATGGGACCATTTAAACTAGAGTTAACGGCCTTTTTTCTATCCAAATAATGGTTTAATAATATTTTTTCACTCATAAACTTTTAAAATACTATTTTAGTACTCAAAATTATATTCTGGTGGCGAACATAAAACAAATTTGATCTTGGTTGTTAGACTTTTGAAGAGGGGAGACAATGAGTCTTTTAGTGGTAGAAGGTTGGATTTTGGTGGTTAGGATTAATCAAAATTTGACTTGGGAGGGCAATTGCGAAAACTTTAATCGTTCGATTGCCAATGATTGGCGAGGTTGGCGGAAGTAGGGTTTGAGGGGTTTTGGTGAGTGATGATCGAGGAATTGAATGGTGGTGGTATAGGGTCGTAACGATGCTGGAATAAAAAAAGGAATATAAATTTGAATAATAAAGTGATATTTTAAAAGTCTATGGTTGAGAAAATGTCATTAAGTCATTATTTGGGTGAAAAAAAAGCTGTTCTTTAAAATATCCAATCTTTTATGTGAATACCATAGTCTTAATAATAGGAGGTGCAAATGTAATGTCAATTAATGGAAGTTGGTCTTTTTTAACATACGTAAGTGTTGTATAATAATTAACTCACGTTAAGACATCAAGTTAACAATGAAAAGAAAGAAGTACTAAAGTGAGAGAATTGGAAGATATGGGACTCCATAGACATTTGAGGGCTTTAGAAGAGAAACGGTTTAATGCTTTTTTTCTTTTTGAGTGAATAACATTCCAATCCAAGGTTTTCATATAATTACATTTTCCACCCATAAATTTTGAAAAAAACAATTTCCAACCCATCATCAATCTTCGTCAATGAATTCTGTTACCAGACAGGGGTAAAGCTACAAAAAAAAGACTATAATACCCTTTATTATTTGACTTTATAATTTTCAATGAGACTGAATAACATTTTCTCACCCAAACTTTATTAAATGTATTTTTCAACCCTAGTTTGGCTTATATTAATTTTAGGGTTAATAAATTAAAAAATAATTAAAAATAAAGTTAGTTATTAAATAAAAAATTAAGAAAATTAAACAAAAAATGAAAAAAAGTCTGCCAAATTTTTTTTTTTCAATTTTTCTTAATTTGTTATTTTCAGATTTTGTTGAATTTTTTCAACTTTTTCTTTTCTTTTTTGGAAGTTATATTTTTAAAGATATATATGATTATATATTGTCGATGAAAAAAATACACCAACAAGAGTTATCCGATCGATCTTAACGGGATCAGAATTGATGTGTGCGTGATTACAGGTAACTAGCAATGAATAAACAATAAAATGCAATAAAGTAAATAAACAATACTCTTGAGCCTACATCTACTGTTTTTTGTATTTGCTGTGAGAGCTTACAATAACAATTCTAGAATAATTTGCTAGCCCCTTTCTCATCGTTGGAGGGGGTTTATATACAGATTTTGTACAAAGGAAGGAGCGAAAATAAAGGGATTACAATTAAGTTTGAAATGCAACTCTGATATTCTCGCGATTGAGCGTTGTGATTGCACAAAGATTGTTATCAATCTGATCCTTTCCGAGATACCCAGGACTTGAAGTTATCTATGAATTGGTTGAACAATAGTATGGATTGGTCGCGACTAGCTTGTGCTAGGTCGAGCGAGTTAGGTCAGAAAATTGGTAGAGTCGAGTTGGTTCTAGATCCAGCTATAACCTCGCAATTCACCGAGCTTGACGGAAAAATCATACACAACATCTGCCCCCTTGTGTTTGGTGCTCATTTCGAGCTTTGAAGACTATTACTCGATTTGACATCAAGCTCGGACTTCGTCGATTGTGCGCTGAATACAGATTTGGTCGAGCTTCATGAGTCAGACTCATTTTGATCGACCTACTCAACACTTGACTATTTTTCTGTCATGTTATTCTTAACAAACTGGAAATTTGAAATGAAGGGTATTAGTGTAAATCCTACGCGGTCATTTCGCATTAAATGCGACAGCCTTTGACAGTTACTTTTCATCGCGTGTGGGAGACTACAACTGTCCACGCGCGAAGTTGAGGCGACGTGCGACAACAGTTATGATTATGGCAGTTTGACGGTTGATCGTCCCTCGTGGATGATTGACATGTGGCCACATCCAAGAGCCGAGATTGCTTGATGAATGGAAGACCGAGACTCATTATAGATCGATGGCTACGATCGAACCCTGCCCTTTTGTCTCCTATGCAAGCCACTATAAAAGCGGGCGAACTCGTTAGAAAGCCTTCACACTTTGCAAAAGTTCCCAAGCTTTTTTGCTTATTTCGTTGTTGCTTCTTCATCTTCACAGTGCTTTTCCGGCGAGTTCATCCAATCTTTCAGTTCGGCAAGCTTTCTTTTCCCTCCTTTACTTGTTTTTACAACTTTTTATGGTTGAAGGTGGGCACTGTCGTGGCCACATTAGGCTTTGCTAGGGTTTTTAAGTGTGTCTTCGGCGGTCTTGGGTTTAAGGAGGATTTATGATGGCGACCACCGGAATCCTGGTAGGTTGCTTATGTCTGTTGTCCGACGTGAGCTACCTTGGGTGCGTCGCCGAGTTTTCGAGCTCTGACACAAGTTCGCTATGTTTCAGGTACCTAGAGGCAAGCTATTTTCATGTCTTCTTCGAGTAGTCATACCATTGATCGCACATTCAATTCCCTAGCAGGCTTGGCAGATCGAGGGCGTAGTCCTTGAGACTTTCGAAGATGTTGTCACACGGAGTTTGAATCCTGATGTGGTGGGCTCTTCAGATCATGCATCTGTAGAGGTTGCTCAGTCAAGGAGATCCCCAGTCCATAGGCCGCGCAAGGAACCACAATCCTTGCTTCTTCTTTCGTAAATATGTGGGCCAAGAAACCAAAAGGCCTGAAGAAGAAGACGGTAGAGTCCAGGGCTGCCAAGAAACCACCAGTCGCTTCGACAAAGAAGTAGCCCATTGACGTTGCTGGGATGGTTGGGCAAGGTGCCTCGCGCCCAGCCCTCAAACGAAGCGGTGGGGAGCTTGGGGAAGGCCTAAGTGCCAAGAAGCCTGCAACTACGCCTAAGTTAGTCAGGGAAAAGGGTGTCCCCAAGCCCTAAAAGAGGTCGGCAAAGAAGACTTTCGAGCCAACTAGAGATTCAGGGAAGTAGAATGTGCTTGAGCAGCATGATGGCTTGGGCAAGAAAAAGTTGATCGAGCTGCAAAAAGGCTCGGGAAAATAGAAGTTGCCGAGCTAGTGACCCAAAGAAATCTGTAGCCAAGGACTCGACCAAGAAAAAGTTTTTTCCTAAGGGTGAAGTTGTCATTCCTGTGGGAAAGTAAATCAGGCTCACCTCAATAGAGAGGCAAAGTGGTGGATGAGGTAGCTCGAATTGTGGTCGACGCAATAATTAACCAACTCCCCAAGCACATCAGCGTCGGGGCTAAGGCGGTCAAGAATGTCATCATCCCGTGAACTTTTGCAGGCATTAGGGATTCGTCTCCTCCACAATTGTTGGCTTGGGTATACAGCTATGTGACAAAGGTATCAGTAATTTGCCACCTTCTCCCTTTTTTATATGTGCGCTTTTCTTTATTCCTTGCTGACTTCCATTTTTTCTTTTTTAGGATTGCGTGGCGAGCAGACTTCTTTATGATGAGTGTTACTCTATATTGAAGGGCACTCATAAGAGATGACAGGAAGCGAAAACGCTTAAGGAGGATGTCTTGGCTAGGGTCGAGGTAGCAGAGAAAAAGAAGGACTTGAAGCAGGCTGAGCTTGAATGGCTTAAGGAGGAAATAGCGACTTTTGGGGTCAAGGAAAGATAGTTCCTTGACAAAATTAAGGTGAGTGAGGCTGCTCAGGCAAAGGCTGAGAAGAGTTTGGCATAGCAATGTGGTGCCAACAATGAGCTAAACTCCGAGCTCACCTCAACTCAAAAAATTACCTCGGATTGGGAAGCACAGTTCAAACAGGTCTCACTCGATCTTGCCTAGGAGGCAGAAGGTTGCCAAAAGGCCGAGGCTGAAACTAAGCAACTTAGGCTCGAAGTCGGGGAGCTGAATGAGGTCTTGCAAACCAAGCTTAGGAAACGTTGGTCTTCCTTCTCCAGAAGTTGTGGGAAGCTCATCCATCAATCGACTTCTCATTTCTTCCACGGGCTTATCAGAAAGAGGTCAACAGGATAAGAACCGAGGCTCAAGGGATGACTTATGTTTACTCAGGCAACTCTGA